CTTGCAGTTCCAGTGCATGAACCTACAGCACCACGCCAGGACTCCTTTTTTGCCCCTAGAAACTTTATTTGTATCTCTGACACATTTTTCAATTGGGTTAATTAGTATTATTCTTATTGATTTGTAGAAATTCTTTGTAAATAAAGAAAACTAGATCTGTATTATACGAGAGGGCTTCAAAAAGTTTGTGGAAAATGGAATGAAAACGGAATTTTTCATGAACTTCTTACAGCCCCCTTGTATAGGTCATACACATTTGTGAAGGTTTTGGTGGTTTTAAGAATTTTGTAGTTTAGTTGATAAGCAAAGTGACAACACAAATATGAATTTCAAGGGTTCTGTTGTTTGTATCTGCTTAGCTAGACTTTTCATACCTCATTGAGAATCCAGTGTATTATTATGTGTTAATGTGAGGTTAGTAGGTGGTACAGGTCTAGGATAGGTATTTGAGGTGGTGGAAAGAGGCTTGTTCAACAGTTAGAAGGAGGTAACAAGGACCTGAATGAAGGTGATGAAGTTGAAGGTAAGGTTCTTCCAGAATAATGCTGAAAAAGCCCAGTTCCTGTTAAGGAGGTTCCAATTCATTACAACCCCATGTGTTTGAGTGTAGAGTTAGTGCTTGGTAAGAACTTGTCAATGATTGTGATCTTTTGGGAGTCAATCTCCAGGCCTGTTTTCTGAGGTAGTGCTGGGTGGATTTGAACCACTTTTTGGTTAGTAGCAGAGCACTTAACCACATGAGCCACTCAGGGACTCCAGTAGGATGATAGGACTTGATTTTCGACTGGATATATATGTTTGATGCATGTATTTGGTTACTTGTTGAGAAGGAGGGAGAAGAACAGACAACACAGAGAGTCTGGATGGCATGAACTCATGAAGAGTCTGGTGCATTTAACCCACAGCACCAAGGAAGATCAGGTTTGTGGGCGGAAGACAATGCTTTATGGTCAGTGCAAAAAAGGGGACACTTGGAAAAGCAGACACCTGGGGATGTTGTTTCCTGGGAGACAGATCCATTCCACGACTCACAGAAGGAGATGCTACTCCTCAAACCTCCCCCACAAGGGACCTTATATTTTCCTTGCAGTCTTTCCTCTCTAGTAGGATGAGAACTTTGAATCACACAGATGCTCAGAAAAGGTGTTTATTATGAAAAAACAAGTTAGGAGGAAAATCCACAGGGTTTTTAAGCACCAGAGATACTAACTTCAGTTTCCAGTTCCCATATGCCCAAACATGAGATTGACAGTCTGAGTTCTGGTTGGTTGGAGGTGCAGGGTTTTTCTTTACTCCCCCTTGTTTGGATGAGTCCTGGTGTGGCGCTGTGGGTTAATGCACCAGAATGTAAAGCCGTTTGAACTGCAAGGTTGGCGGTTCAAGCTCATCAGCTGCTGCTTGGAAACCCTATACAGGGTCGCTATGGGTCGGAACCGACTCAACAGTACTTCACAACAACAACATTTTTAGGTATAGGTAATGTCGAGAACTGGCCTTGACATGGAGGTTCAGTTCACGAAGTAGGGAGATCTGGTGGCGACAGAGATAGAGAAAGAATACACACAAAGATGCAACAAGAGACAAGAAGACACCCTGAGACCAGAGTGGATGCGACACTGGTGTCAGACAGATCCTGCATTGCAAACATCATGGCTATGCAAGCAGTAGGCACACCTTACCAACTGCAATGCCTGCCCGAAATGCATGCCCTGCAAGCCGTAACGCACGTGGGCTTCAGTCTGCACCTTTTTATTTCAGGGAGGAGCTTTACACAAAGGAAGGCAGGGATTATTAAGACAGGGTACAGAAGTGAAATGTGATTAATTGTTCAAAACAGGGCTCAATGATTTACAGGAACAAATTCTAAAACATACATCACAAATTGTCTTGATAATCTAACATCCTTAATTTTCTAGAAATTCAAGCAAATTGTTATATAGTACTTTTTAGGTTCGAATCCCAAGGTAGAAACTCAAGGTTTCTCAAGCCTAATTAGCATACCTATAGCACCTAATCTTCAGTGAGAAAAGGATTCAAAGGTCTGAAAGGAATCCAGCTGTTTCAGCTACCAGGCCGAGACTTGCAGGAGGAAGGAGGATGCCTATGTTAATGGTCTGCACCTGAGGGCGCTTTGAGAAGGCTGACACTATTATTTCTTTGAACAAAACCCCAGAAGTTGCCATCTACTTTGGGTGAATTCCTTAGGGGAATTTTCTCCAGTGTCTCCCAGAAAACTTGCCTTAGGAACTTTTTACAGCCTCGGCTTTAGGAGAGGTTTTTGGTTTACTATTAATATTGTACATGGATACTAAGAGCTTATGTATTAAGTAAATACCAAACATAACTGAATAACTTGATAAAGAACAGTTTGGACGTGCTTGCCAGGTGGCCAGAGTTTGTTCCTCAGAGAGATTTTGTTTCCAGAACTTTAAGCACTGCCAACACAGTGGAGACAGTAAGAGAGGCACATAAGAAACCATTTTCTCAGAAGCTACAATTACTGGAGTTTGAAGCATAGAATGAATAAGACCAAAGAAAATTATACAGAGCTAGCCCAACAGTGAGTTCGTAAAAGCCAATGAACCCGGGACGTCTGGAGGTTACTTCCTTGGGCCCTCAGGGTCCCTGGCTAGCAAGTCTGAGAGTGGCCATCATGTTGGATTTTCTTCCATGACACCGGTCCTCAGCATCTCAGTACTTGCGGTCCTCAATAAGATAAGCCATGTGGATGAGTTCCAGGCAGTAATGAAAAGGCAGGTCTGATGTTGAAGAGTTACAGGAGACAAATTTGGTTTAGAACTCTCTATGGGTTAGAACTGACTCAACAACACTTTAACAACAACATGCATAAAACAGCTCTGGAACAATACACTAGAAACTAACATTGGTGGCCTAATGAGACAGACATTTCCTTTACCTTATAGACTTGATGAAGATGCTACCTTTCTCCATCTCACCCCAAAAGCAGTAAAAAAGAAATGAAAAGAAAAACTTCTGGTGGTAGGTATATAATAGGTTTTAACTCAGGTAACTTGAAATAAATTATAACCATAGTTATTAATTATATGGGGGATCATTTAGACAGTTCAAGAGTTGAAGACTATCGTATTTTCTTCTACCCAACTTGTTTCCTTCATACAGAACACAAGAAACAAGAACGCAGAGTCAGACAGCACAAAAACTCACACAGAGGGGAAATGGGTCAGACACTTTATTGTGACTTGTTAGGAATACAGCATTCCACCCTCAGTAGGTACATATTTGTTCTCTTTTATTTTATTTTACGGGGGGTGGGGGTGGGTGGGTGGCCACAGCGTGATGCTCAAAGGCCTTTAGCCTCATTTTATGTCAGTCTAGTCGACGGTTGCCCATTTTATAGTTCAGCTAGTTAGAGAAAAAAAACCCAGGAAGGTCTGGTTTTAACATCCAAATTAAGGGCTGCAAAATCTGCAACCCATTAGTATAAAGTGCTTTATGGTCAGTGCAAAAAAGGGGACACTTGGAAAAGCGGACACCTGGGGATGTTGTTTCCTGGAAGACAGATCCATTCCACGACTCACGGAAGGAGATGCTACTCATCAAACCTCCCCCACAAGGGACCTAATATTTTCCTTGCAGTCTTTCCTCTCTAGTAGGATGAGAACTTTGAATCGCATAGATGCTCAGAAAAGGTGTTTATTATGTAAAAACAAGTTAGGAGGAAAATCCACAGGGTTTTTAAGCACCAGAGATACTAACTTCAGTTTCCAGTTCCCATATGCCCAAGCATGAGATTGACAGTCTGAGTTCTGGTTGGTTGGAGGTGCAGGGCTTTTCTTTACTCCCCCTTGTTTGTATGTCAAACTCACTGAGAATGACAGGCCCTTCCTAAGACACAATCATATCTCTAGTAAGAAGACAGGCTAATGCATATTAAAGCAGCACTGGACCTGGTTGTCCACCAATGGGCCTTGACCTCTTCTTCCTTGTCCTCTTAGTCTCTTGTCTCATGGCTCACCTCAGACAGAAAAGCAGCACATCGCTTTCTCAGAGGCCGCTGAGTAATCGCATACTCACCTCATGGTCCTGGAGAGTCTGAAGGCAAGCAGGAGAGAAGAGGAAGTGTTTTCCCAGCTCATTCAAAGGGCACATATGGACTGAGCTCAAATAGGGAACGGCTAGCCACATAGTTCTCAGGTCCTGGCTACCATTTTCCATAACCCTGACTTTCAAACACGCAGCCATTTCTTCATCAACCTGGCAGCAGTGATATTCAGGGAGCTTGCGGGCAGCTCACCTTTGTCCCTATTGGTGGGTTTTGCCTTGTCCATTCTTGTGGGTTACTGTGATGGCACCCCTCCTACCTGTGTTTCAGGCTTCCAGATCGGATCACTTGCCTCTGCAGCTGGCAGCATCCTGAGGACCCTTGCACTTGGATTACCTTACAAAGGCTCCCCCCTTAACTCCTTGTGCTTGTCAGAGGAGACACTTGGGAAACAGCACTATTCCACAAGTAATTCTGGCCCCAATGCCTTCTCTGACTGAGTCTTGGGAAGGGAAGCAAGGGAGAAAGAAACAGTCCTTTTGATGCTGCATGAGAATTTTCTGTAAAACCCTTCTGGTTAGAAGGAGATACTTAGGCATTTCAGCATGGTGGGGGCTGTGTACAAACAGGATGACCCGGGTTAACAACAAAAACATAAGGAAGGTTTCCAGACTGGCAAAAGGCTAAAGTAAAGTGCCTCTTCTCAATGGAAGAGTTTCATTTGCTCAGAAATGCTCGGGCGTACACTCACTCACTCACTCATCCTGAGGTAGAGAGGACTGGCCATCTCCTGACACACACACACAGACCCTACAACTTCACAGACACATGGCACTTGTGTGAAAGGTCCCACCCTTGCCCGCCGTGGCAAGCAGGGTCCAGTTCAGCTCTTCCCGTCCCGACAGGGAAGCGGAGACACCACCACTTCTATCACCACAGTTCTGAGACTGCGTTTTTCTAGCCTCACTGCCCAGGGTTACTTCCTGGAGCCAGCGCCGTGGCCTCCCCGGATGTGGCTTGACAGAAGCCACTGAGCGCAGATATCTTGCACCACGGCATCCCCGCTGCTCTTGGCGGCCTGTTGCACCTGCTGGACGAGCGTGGTAGCCCTCGAGTGTTCTTGCTTCACTGCAATCAGGTAGGCGGAACGCAGTTTGCAACACGTCAGGTAGGCTCTAACCTGGAAATCAGATACAGCAGGCAGAAGGTAGGAGAGCATCACCAACAAATCTGCACTTCCCCCTTGGGATGGGGATTCTTTACTAAAGTCAACAGATATACACAAGACTGTGGCACAAAGCTCGAGACCGATGAGACACCATTGCCTGCCTGCCAAATTGACATCTTTTAATGCAGCATAACAACTCTTGAACTATTCTGGACACAAAGCTTTTACATTGCACTATTATGCAGTTTAGTAGTTAGGTGCTGTCGAGTCGTCGGCTGGACTTATAGCAGTCCTGTACAGGGTTCCTAAGGGACGGCTGGTGAATTTGAACCACTAACCCAACCTCAGAGTTCAAAGCAACCTTGCAGTCCAGCGCTTATCCCAAAACCACACCAGGACTCCATTTTACAGCATACAAAGTTATTAAAAATAAACAAAGAATTTCCAAAAGGAAAAAGCTGGCAGAGTTTGGCTCCTGTACACTCACTCGAGGCCCTCCGGTCACTACGCTAGGCGCTCCTCCTGGCTTCAGAGCCAACGCTGGCATTCTCCACAGGTTGTGTATCTTCTTCTACACCTTGAATTCCTGGAGTCCTGGTATGGCACTGTAGGCTAATGTGCCAGACCGCAAGACTGGCCGTTCAGCTTACCGCAGCTGCTCCTCTGAAACCCTATACAGGGTCGCTATGGGTTGGAACCTACTCAACCGCACTTAAAAACACATATTATGATCCAGTATGTAGTAGGTGTTCAATAAATATGCATGAAAAGAATGAATCAATGAATCCCACCCCTTCAAATGAGCACACCGATCTTCCTTTGTTTCCAATATGCTAACTGAAATCTTTAGCAAGTTACATTGTGCCTGGGGTCTTAAAAGCTTACAAGCAGCCATCCAAGGCCTAACAACAGATCTCTATGTCCCTGAAGCAACAGAGAAAGGAGAGCCAGAATAGAAGGATATGGAATGTGTGGCCCATTGCCTCCATGAACAAATGGCTCCTTTCCCATGAGACCAGAAGAACTTGGTGATGCCCAGCTAGCACGGTTACTGAACATTTTGATCAAGGACTCTACTGAGGAATCCTGATCAAAAAGGGGGGAAATGCAGAACAGAATTTAGAATTTTTAATGAACTCCAGACTGTCTGAAGCCATGCAATCTGAATGAACTCTTGAAACTATTGCCCTGAGATCATCTTTAGAATCTTAAAGCAAAAATATTTCCTGAAGTTTTCTTAAATTAAAATAACTGTTTAGCTTTAACTACTAAAAAATGTTTGCTTTTAGCATTATGTTTTTTTATATGGGGGGGGCAGCTTTAAAAAGCTCATAGAAAAATTTCATTCCCTTTTAATTCCATTTTCCCACAAACTTTTGGAAGCCCCTTCATGTCTTCATGGGATCAAACTGACAGCAGCAATTTGATAGGTCACATAGGACCCTTAGAGAGCAGTCAGTTTATGTCGATGGAGGAGAAACAACTCGGCAATAGACATTGAGAAGGTTGAACAGTTCAGACAATGTAAGCAATGTCAATAAGCTAAACGTGTAGAAATGAGTTGAATTGGTGTATGTTTTTCCATGTACATTTTAAACAACAACAAAATAAAGTTTTAAAAAATTCCTTTAGCAAGAGGGATAAAACAGAAAACAAAATTTCAAATTCTCATGAAATCTAGACAGTCTGGAGCCCTAGAGGATGGATGAACCCCAAATTATTGTTCTGAGATAATGTTTAAATCTTAAACCAAAATACCCCACTTAAGCCTTTGAACCAAATAATAGTTTAGGTTAACTAGCCAAAAACATCTATCTGCCTTGAGGATTATGCTCTTCTAAGAAATCTATATGGGACTAAAGTGACAACAGAAACTCGAGAGTTTAGAAGGAAATTTTAGGAGGCAGTGAGCATATGACTGGGGGATGAACAGTTCAGACAAGGAGGCTGAGAATGTCTGTACAATTCCTAGAATGTAATCAATGCCACTGAGTTGGACATGTAGAAACTGCTGAATTGGTGTGTGCATATTTTCAATAACAACAGCAAAAATTAAAGAAACGTAAACAATCTTGTAACAAGGAAATATATACTACACATAATTAGAAAGGGTGTAATTAAGGCCTAACTCCTGCCCCTGGTTGACATTACTTTTTTGTGGTTTGCATTGGGAGCAACTCCCAACCTCTGGAGCCCTCGCTTTCTCAGGACACCCAGGTGAGGTGGGAGCCCCTTCATTTCCTGACCTGGATCTATCAGCACTGCTGCCCGGTAAGCTCATGTTGTAGGCTGTGGCCTGCATGGCCCTCACAAGCCATCAGAGAGCTTCCATTACTGTGACATTCCTTCTCTGTATTTCAATGTTCCAATTCCCTTTTGTCTTGGTCACTAGTCTTTTTTTCCTAAACTTGATTACAGACAATCTCCTAGAACATACAAGATGTCTTCATTCACTAGAGTGACCAAGACCTGCTGTGTGGGGCATCTTCTCTCTGCCCTGGGATAGTAGCTCTCACCTAGTCTTTGCAGGGGCCACTAAGAAACCATGTATGTTAAATGTACATCACAAGTATGTTGACATTTTATCACAAGCTGGCAGACAAAATTCCTACCAAGAGAAGGATATTTCTCCAGAGTTTGAGTCAATCCCAGAGTACAGTCACCCTACAGGACACAGCAGAACTGCCCTCATAGGATTTCCAAGGTTGTAATCTTAACAGACGCAGACTGCCACATCTTTCTCCCTCAGAGCGGCTAGTGGGTTTGAACCACTGACCTTTAGGTTAACAGTTGAACTCTTAACAACTGCACCAGTAGAGCTCCTGAGTTTGCAATAGGAGCTGAATACAACTACTTTGGGCCAGACTCCACAGCCCAGGATCAGCTAAGTGCATCAAAACAGCTGCAGAGAGAAAAGGCTAAAAGTGGTAACCACTGTCTTGATTTTAGTTAATATGCCTTTCCTAGGGACAAAACCTCTCTTTGTGGAGTGTGAGCTCAGCGCATGCTCGGGAAAGAACTGCAGTCTAGGAATCAGGGACCTTGATTCATCCCAGCTGCTGGTTTCTCATTCTGGCTCTTGGAAAGTAAAGCCTCACATTTTAAAATGTGAAGAGCTTTCTTCCATCTTTTCCATAGGCTCTCATTTAGATATTGCAGAAGCAAATGAAGAAAGGTTTAGAATATATTCTTTCCTCAACTGAAAAATGCCCTGAGGATTCAGCCCAGGTATCAGCAATATACCCAGAGCAGTTCTGTGGTTGTGTAAGAAGCTGTTTGCCTCTGGTATTAATTTTCTTCATGAAGGACTCGATTGCCAGACCATTCTACTTCAGTAGCCAGGACAGCTGAGAGTCTGGCTTGGTTTTCCTGTGTCGTTCCTGGCTCATGGGCCAGCCTCCATCCTGTGTTTCTCCACAAACAGGGGCAACAGGTAGTACACTTTCATTCTGGCTGGCACTCATCATAAAGCTGTCAATTTCGCCTACAGAGAAAAGCCCGCTGGCCTCAGGGGAGAGACTCATTATGGAGAATGAGATACCATTTGTTGGTCAAAAGGTTGGGTGGGGCTTTTCCTTACATTCCCCCAGGGTAATGCGATTGGGCAGCACCTTGAATTTGCTGCTCCATCTCTTCCACAGGATGGAAGTTCCTGCTCATTCTGGGAACATTATTCTATCAGTCACCATAATGGTGAAGTGGGGGACTGCCTAGCGTTGTCTGGGACTGTACCTCAGTATCCAATGGGAATTCAGAACAACCTAGGCCATGTTGTGTCTTGGGGATAAAGAAAAGGGAAGGCAGATGACCATGCAGCCGTTCACATGTTCCTCTGTCTATTTCTTTCTTAACCAGCAGCTTCCCCTCTGGATAACAGAGAAGCTGAGCTACATGGTTGTGGGGAGCAAGAGGAGCAGACAAGGCCAGTCCAAGGCACTGCACATAAATAAGCATCAACAGAGTTTGGAGAGGATTCTGCTCACCTTGTTGTCATCATTGTGAATTGCCTGGATCAGGTCCTCCAGCTCCTGTGCAGAAGAGGAACAGAGCAGGTGTAAGGAGGGGAAGAGTCTGCCAGCTGGGAGTCAGACCCCATCCAGCCTCAGCTTAGTCGTACGGATTCCAGGTTGGGAGGTAGAAGAGCAACAAAGGGAATCTAACAGGTAAAACTGAGCTTGGGCAAACTGGGGAAAGGCCCAGTTCCCAATAGGCCTGTCCTTAGTTTTCACAAATGGATGTGGTTCTGTTCACTCTACAAAGATGCCAGAGAGGGCAATTTTGCATGTAGCATGCTTCAAAAGCCATCCTCAACTCACTCTGACCACCTCTAGAATTGCAGGGCGATGCTCAGCTCCTTCAGACCACAGATATTGTGCAGGCACAAACAATATCAGCCAATTACAGAGAAATTGGCTGATATTGTTAAAGAAAAATCATGAATTTTTCTTTGCAGAGAAGAGTTGACTATTGTCGAGGGGTCAGAACGAAGACTGTACAGATTGAATCACGTCCCTGTGAAATATGTGTTGTAAATCCTAACCTGCATGCCTGTGGTGAGAATCCCATCTGGGAATGGGTGGCCCTTGTTATATAAATGAGTGAGGATTCGTGGAGGGTGTATCTTGAATTCATCTTTTATGAGATATAAAAGAGAAGAAATATGCAAACAGGCAAGCAAGACGCAGGCCAAAGTCCCATGAAATCACCAAGGAATCAAGAAACAAGGCCCATTTCCCACAGCCAACAGAGAAAGCTTTCCCATAGAGCTGGAGGCTTGAATTCAGACTTCCAGCCTGCTAAACCCTAAGAAAACACACCTATGTTTGCTAGAGCCCTCACTTGTGGCATTTCTGTAATAGCAACACTAGATAATGAAGTCAGATGAAACTGATGTAGACAGGGAAAGCTGGAGTTTTAGAGGTGAGTGTACCTGGGGTGGGATTCTCCTGAATGCTTCCAGGCAGTTGAGGAGGATGGTGTCTCCATCGCTCTGGGCTGCCATGCCCGACTCACTGACGCATTTGAGCAGCCGCTGGATCTCACTGTATTTCTCCCTCTCGACCAGCTGCCGCGCAGCTCTGCAGTAGGTGAGGGCAGCATCCAGCTGGAAGTCCTAGAAAAGAACACGGATGATGGGCTTCAAATGGCAGGGGTGGCAACAGTGGAAAGGGGAGCAGCATTTCAACAGCCCCCACTAGGCTCGGCAGAGATACGCCATGTTGATGATAGTCACAATAGCAAACACAAATAGAGTCAGTCTCATTACTTATGCTAATTCCGTACTATAAAGTTGCCACAAACACTCAGTTCCTGGGCACTGAACTACTTACTGCTCTAGAGGAAATATTCAGGTTCTAATGGGGGATTCAAAGTTGTTATCACTCTGCACATGTCCATGAAGGACCCTGCAAGCATTGTGTTGATTCAGGAGTTACAACTAAACTTTAGTGAGTAGGTGAATTTGCAAAAATGGAATCTGCAAATGAAGAGGATCCACACTGTATGGGGAAAAATGCAAACAGAAAGGTCCTTTTCGGGGCTGGCAGACACAAAAAGCCAATCTTAATGTCTTATCATTTGCTGCTTTGTCCCTTTCTTTAATCTAAGCAGACCAAATCCATTACTTCTCTCTCTCAGGAGTCACCTTTCTCAGGGCAAACAGATATTGGGGGCTGGTGTTGCTTATCCCACTTGGTATTCTGTTGAGCGGTGCCTTGCGTTTGGGAACAGACCAATTCATCAAATGACTGAGTTGTTGAAAACTGCCAGATAAATACCTTAGACATGACCTAGAACCCCACTAAAGCCTGTGGGTCTGTCAGCAGCTGCACCTCTGCTGCTCACCTGGGAGTATCTGTGTGTGTGGAGAGCTTTATCCTACACTGGGCATACATGGGAAGAAAGCAACCTGCTGACAACTTAGCCTTGTAGATGTGCATAATGTGTGCACATTCACCCTGCCTGGAAAAGCAGTGATCCCCTCAGTCAGCTCTCCCGGGGTTCGTGTCAGGGCTGGTATCTGGGGAGATCCTGACCTACTATCACAGCCACACCTGGGCCCTTGATCACAAGCGAAAGGAAGTGTGTTTCCAGAGTTGGCTCCTGTACACACAGATGATGGCGGGGCAGCCTTTGCTGCCAGTGACCCTCCAGACACACAGAAAACCTTGGGCCCCACCTCCTTCCACACTTCCTTGGGAAGGTAAGCAGAGGCTGTGTAGGGTCACAGCTTTGGCGAGATGTCCTAGACCTAGTTTAAAGTATTTTTTGATGGATTTGCCATTAGCTACCTGGCTTCTGGAGTTCTGGTGTGGTGCTGTGGGTTAATGTACCAGACTGCAAAGCCACTTGAACTGCAAGGTCGGCAGTTCAAACTCACCAGCTGCTCCTTGAAAACCCTATACAGGGTCGCTATGGGTCGGAATCGACTCAACGGCACTCAACAACAACAACAACAACTTGGCATCTATTTCCAATAGCCTTATATGCATATGAAAGTTGGACAATGACTATGGAAGAGCGAAGAAGAGTTGATGTCTTTGAATTCAGGTGCTGGCAAAGAATACTGAATAAACCAATGGACTGCCAAAAGAACAAATACCTGCTTGGAAGGAGTATAGCTGGAATGCTCCCTGGAAGGGAGAATGGTGAGACTCTGTCTCATGGATTTTGGACATGTTATTAGTATAGGGTTGTTGAGTTGAAATCAACTCGACGGTACCTAACAAAAACAATTTGATTTCTGGCAAAGTGGCCCACTTTGACTGACTTCTAGAACAGCTAACTCCTTGATTTCACACTTGATGTGCACTCAAATCTACTTCTCTTGGTATAAATATTTTCAGAAGAACAATCTCTCACAGAACTGTGGTCAGGTGCTGACTGCCCCCCGGTATAATCTCTAGTAACCCAGGTCATACCTGCAGAACTCGAAATGCAATTCCAAAACCATCTTCTACATTTTTCCCTCCCAGCATGACCTAAAAAAGGGAGGGAAACTCACGATTAAAAAAGCAATAACTACTGGATCAACCTTTCAGTCATGGATGTCACTGAGGCTTCCCACTTATCCAGGCAAATACTTTTTCAGACCTCACAAAGTGCTAAGCTCTAGGGATACAGAATGAGTGTTCATCCAGACTTTCGGCTCACATATGAGCAGGGAGGCGCCACAAAACCAACACTTGGAATCCTAACTAGACAATCACAATTGTGAAAAACGTTTTCAGAGAAGATGAGTCTACCTGAGGACTGAATCATCTGGACATACCTTGCAGGCCACATCCATTTTCATGTGGTTATTTCCAAACAGGGTTGGGAGAGGCAAGGCGGTGATCTGAGAGGTCCCAGCGCTCTCACACCGATGTAAGAACCTTGTCACTTCCATCTGCAGTTGGAGGGTGTTCATGTGTCTGCGGTGACAGGGGCACAAAACGAAGCCTCATGAGTGCTGCTACTGGGGCTGGGCGAACCGAAAGTCATGACAAAATGGCAAGTGAGTTGGAGAAAAGAGAACCAAAACATCCTCTGAGAAGTTAGGACAAGACAAAAACATGTCATCAGGAGACAGCAATTGCTAGAAAAGGTTGTTATGTTGGTGAGGCAGAGCACCAGTGAAAATGAGGGAAACCCTCAACGCGTTGGACTGTCAGAAAAGACTCAGCAGTGGACTTAAACATTCCGATAACCATAAACATGGTGCAAGACTGAGTTTTTACCAGTTAGAGCTGACTTTACAGGAATCAGCAACTACCAGTGCTAACAACGGATGCCAACAGTCAACTGCAATGTGGAGCTGGACAAGGTCCAACCATTCAGTCAATGAGGGTTTACTGAGCACCTGTAGCGTACTGGTTACAAATCAGGCTGCTAACCTCAAGGTGGGCAGTTCAAAACTACCAGCAGTTCCACAGGAGAAAGATGAGGTGTTCTGCTTCCATTTACAGCCTTGGAAACCCTGTGCAGGATCCTTATGAGTTGGAACCGACTCCACGGTACTTAACAACAACAACAAATGTGCCAAGCAAGCACCATGTTCTGACTCATAGTGACCCTGTAAAAGGTTTCCGGGGAGGAGCTGGTGAGTTTGAATCACTGACCTTGCTGTTTGCAGTCCACTTTACAGTGCCACACCAGGAGTCCAGACACTGCTAGCGCATAACAAAACAACAGAGGTCAAGCATGACATGCACTCTGCCCTCACAGAGTACACAGAACAGGCTCGAAATGACACACAAAATATTTGGCAATTAGACCCATGAAGACAATAAATAGTAGTGTTCTAAGATTCTTTAAGTTGGTGTGTTCTAAGCAGAGGGAATACTAAAGGTACCATGGACTGCCAGAAGAACAAAGAAATCTGGGTTGCAAAAAGACAACCAGAATGCTCCTTAGAAGCCAAAATGGCCTTCATCTCTCATACGTTGGACATATTATAAGGAGGGATCAGTCCCTGGATAACGACATCATGCTCAGTGAAGTGGAGGGACACCGAAAAAGAAGGAGACCCCCAATGAGACGGATTGGAACAGTGGCAGCAGCAATAGGCTCACGCATAGCAGCAATTGTGAGGATGGTAAAGGATCGACTGGACAGGGTTTCATTCTGTTGTACAATGAGTTGCTATCAGTCGGTACTAACAACAAGCCGAGAGAGATCGAGAAACACAAAAGCTGAAAGGCAGAAAAGCACTTGGTGTGTTAAGGAACCTTCAGAAGGTCAATCTGACTGGAAACTTAGCAAGAACAGAGTAGCATGAAAGAGAGATGGAGAAGGAAGCAGGGTCAGATTCCCCATGAGTGTTTTTTTGCCTGTTGAAAAGAGTTTGTTGTCTGATTATGTCATGCTAAAAGCGCTTCTCCAGCCTTTTCAGACTTGTACCAGACACTCTCATCCAAGGATAATTCCTTTTAGATGCTTTTCTCAAGGGTTCTGGGATGTGGCAAGAGCAACTTCATCACCAATAGACAGTCTCAGTCCTTTCTGTCCCACCTTTGTTATTCCCCAAACCTTCAGATACCTTGATACATCAGCTGCGGTCATCTTCTTTCGGAACAGGGTGCTTTTCCTCCTTCCGGAGCTGCGGGACGTTTCTTGGAGGTAGATCTTCAGATGGTCTTTGGCCTTAAGTAGCCATGAGAGCTTCTCCCCTAGTTCTGTGTATGTATTTGCTTTGTGACTGAAGAACCGAATACAGGTCATGGCGGCCCGGACTTGGTCCTATAAGAGGGAAATAAATGTTCAGGTCAAAGGTGATCAGGGCTCTTGCTGAGTGTGTGCTGAGATTCTTGAGTTGAAGTCTATGAAGTCTGCCACAGGCTGAAATACTCTCTGCTCCACAGCAGCCACTCTAAGGCCCAAGAGATCCTCAGGCAAACTGACTAGATCTATTCTACCACATAAAAGATGGTGACTAAAAGGATATTTCCTGTTCTCCATTCAACTTCTTGCCTTGACTCTTGCTGTGACATTGATTAATTCAGTTTCTCACTGATCTAGTACTGGCAGCCCTCAGCCAGAGTGGGAGAAATGTGCTCATCTCCCTTTAAGCATTCTAGTTATTCATTGTTCTTCAGGAATTCTGCATTTATACCTTACACTTACCTTCAAACTACCAAAAGACCCATTTTTGCCTTTATACTCCTTGGATTCTGAAGAATGCCACCACTACTGACAAGATTACAGTCTGTCTTTTTAGGATGGAAATTCTAGTACTATTTAACAATGCTAGAGAGCAACATAGATTTACTTTAGCATCCGCCAAAGAGCCAGGCCAAGGACCAAATGCCAGTCTTGTCCCTTCAGCTTGCCCAGCCTCTCTGGCATGGTAGGGTATTGGTGACAGAGCAGATGGCAGAATGGGACTGTTGTTACCTTCATGAACTGCTGTAGCTCGTACAGAATGTGGTAGTAATTCTTCTTCTGCAAATGCTGGCAGGCAGCAATCAAGTATTTTCCCCAGCTTTCCAAGGTGGGATCTATAGATTCCAACAAGTTTTCCAAAACATGCAGCTTCCCACTTTTATAGCTTGGCTGGAAAATACCTTCTATGAAGACTTCTGGAGGACTCTCCTAGAGCAGGGTGAGGTGAGAAGTCAGAAGTCATGAGCTTGGGCACTCCTGTCTGGGACCCACTCTGAATTTCCTTCCACTCACACCCTACCTGCACCTGCCCCAAAGCAGCACATCTGAACCCGGTGTGAGTCACAAGACCCTTCATGAGCAACTGCTCGGCTTCCTTCCTCCCCTTTACTTTCCCTCCTGTGATTTCCTCTCGAGCCCACTCTCACCTGGCTTTTGTACCCATGATTCCAGTGAAACTTGCCTAAAGTCACCAGTGACCTCTACACAGGTAAGTCAATTCTTGGTCCTTGTTTCTCCTTTGACGAGGCAGGTGGCTTCCTCCTTGAAAATCTGTGACTTCCAGGACACCAGGTTTGCTATCTACTTCTCTGGCTACTCCTTCTCAGTCTCCCTCATTAGTTCCTCCTAATGTCTCCAGGGCTCAGTAGGCACTTGGTCTCTTTGCTAGCAGTACTCACTATCTTGGTGATTTCATGTAGTCTCATGGATGAGGTGATTTCATGTTGTCTATACAGGGTCGCTATGGGTCGGAACCGACTCGACGGCACTTAACAACAACAACAATTTGTTGATGAGGCCTGAATCTCTATCTCTGGTCTGGTCCTTCCTCCTGAACTTTACAAGTATATATCCCAATTATAGCCAACGTTCCCTCTTGGGTATCTAACAAACCGATTGCATTCAAAGGTGATGTTTTCCTATACACCTGCTCTCTAAGTCTCTCTTTTTTTTTCAGTAGATGGAAATACCATTCTTCTACTTGTTCAAGTCAGAAACCTTACAGTTCTCCTTTCCTTCATAACCCAACATTAAATTCACTGCCAAATTCTGTTAGCCCTACCATTATAGTACATTTAGAACCTGACCACTTGTCACCAACTTCACTGGTATCATCCTGTCCTAAACCATCGTCATGTCTTGCCTGCATTATGACAAGTTTCCTCCCTGGTCTATCATCTTCTACCTCTGCATTCCACAGCCCCCAAAATGAATGTGATTCACTAGAATGTAAATCAGTGCATACTACCCCTCTGCTCAGCTTCCTCCTATAGCTTCTCTTCTCATTCAGTGCAAAAGCCCAAGTCCTTATGAGTCTACAAGCACTGCAATGACATGGCCTGTCACCCTTCTGACTGTATCTCCCTGCACCCTCTACTTCAACCACCCTGGCCTTTGCACCTACTGCTCCCTCCACCTGGTCTGTACCCCACCCCACTCCACGTACTTGCCTTGCTCCCTCACATCTTTACTCAAATGTCCTTTTTCCTGGGCATCCTACCCCCAAACTGCACAAGCCCCTGCCATGGGGTTTGGGATAGGATGTATTTTTATTTATTACTTTTCACAGCACTATAAGACTTCTGAAGTGGCACTGTAGGATCAGCACTGGACTGCAAACCACAAGGTCAGTGGTTCAAACCCACCAGCTGCTCCTCGGAACTCTACAGGGTCGCTGTGTGTCAGAACTAACTCAACAGCACTTAACAACAGCACAGTGCTATATGTTTGTTTTACGTTGTTTAATTCCTCTCTTCCCACTACAATGAAAGTTGTATGAAGGCAGATATTTTCGTCTGTTTCCCTGCCCCTCACTATGACATCACTAGTTACAAGAATCATCTCTGGCTATTAAATAAATGGGGTACTGGTGGTTTGGTGGCAGAATTCTCGTCTTCCATATGAGATCCGGGTCTGACTCTTAGTCAAACCTCATGTACAGCTACTATCTGACTGTCAAGGGTGGCTTATCTGTTGCTACGATTCTAAACAGCTTTTAGTGGAGTTTTCAGATGACGGCTAGCATGAAAGGTCTGCCAATCTACTTCTGAAAAACAGCCAATAAAAATCTTATGGCACATAACGGTCTGATCCACAAGCCGTCAAGGGGATGGTGCAGGCGGGACCAAGCAGAGCTGTGTTCTGTTGTGTGTGGGGTCACCATGAGTCAGGGACCAACTGGGCGGCAGTTAAGGACACCAATATTTGTGTTCAGGAGAGCTGATCCCGGGGACAAAGTGGCGAAAAGGGCAAGGCATCAGACCAGCGACAGAACAGTTATTCTGCTGTTCTTTTCTGCTTGAGAATTAGGGTAAGATATTTTGGTGCAAGGGTAATTGTGATTACAGGAGATTAAAAAAGGAGGCCTCTGTCCTGGCTCAGATGTACGTACAGCAAGCCTACTGCTGTAGTCAGCTGAAAGCAAGCCCATGCTATTAGCAGCTTAACTCTCATGACTAGAGTCATCAGATATGCAGCCAACAGAACGGGTTCCATTTGCAATTTGTGCTTGAGGGAAGCAGCTTTACCTCAAAACTCATTTGGAAACTGTGGAGAAGACAAAAAAGGTAGCAATTCATCTGCTGCTATTCTCTCCCTGCCCCACCTGCTCCAACCACCCTGGCTTTTACATTCACTTCTCCTTCCGCCCAGTCTCCCCCCCCATCTGCACGGCCAACTCCCTCACCTTCAGGTCGCTACTCAACCAGGCACCCTACACCCAAAAGTATCCAAACCACTCCCCACCCCCTGCTTTAGTTTTCTTATGACTCAACTCCAAACCATATAATTCTATATTATTCTTAATGAGGAAGACACAGTAGCTCAGGCAGCAGTGAAAACATTTCCGTTTGCTATTCTGAACGGCTGAGTTCACTTGGAACGATCCTAGAAGATACGTTTAACTGTAAGTTTTCATCGGATGCCATTTTGATTTAGGAAAGGAGATTGAAATTAAACCTGATCCTCAGAAAGATATTATGGAACATTCAGATTTAAATGGCTCCAAAAAGCACTTCAATGGTGCCTTGGCTTCCAGGAGAGTAGGGCAGAGGATGTGAGAAATAAAAAATAGAGCCTCCCCACAAAGTAGAGCCAGTTCTCTTCACCAGATATTTGTAGCCCTGATATGGGAGCTGGGTGCTTCCAGGCCCTGTGGCAGCAATTCTGAGTCTACAGGGATAGAGGGAGACAAATACAACTAAGACACGGGTAAAGCATCCTCCTCTTGCCTTGGTTCCACACTCTTCTGCTCCAACCTTCTTTTCACTCCATTAGATTTGTCAGCTAGCATGCTTTCTATGACAACTCCCTATGATGACAGAATAATTCTCCTCATCTCGACACTACAGTTTTCAGTTCAGGAACTCCTGCACACTACAGAGCTAATGAAATTCACAAGGAAATTCCACACCACAGTATACTTTGAGGAGTTATTGCCTGTTTGTGGCATAATGTTGAACCCTTTGCTTTTTAAAGATCACCAAAGTGATATGCCTAGGACATTATAACAGTGAATGCTCAACAGGATTGTTGTTAAGTGCTGTCAAGTTGATTCTGACTCACATAGGGTTTCCAAGGAGCATGTGGTGGTGTTCATAAAGAATATTTACTTAAAAAATTCTTGTCAGCATTGATTATTACAAAGTCATACCAGCTAATACACATGGAGAGTTTACCATGAGACACTCACTGTTCTAAGCACTGAATAAATATTAACTCATTTAATCCTTACTATAATCCTATCACCTTGGACTCCTGGTGTGGTGCTGTAGGATCAGCACTGGACAATGAAACACAAGGTTGGTTGTTCACACCCACCTGCTACTACTTGGAAACCCTATATAGTGTTACTATGAGGCGAAACAGACATGACATCACTTAATAATTCTAGACTCTAATATTCATGTTTTCATCTTCCAGCTCTCCATCTGGCAATGTTCCATTGCTATTCATAACGTTTTCAGTAGCTACACATTCAGAAGCAGTCTGCCTCTCCTCTTTCCTAGTTTGTCTTAGTCTGGAAGCTCAGCTGAAACCTGTCCACCATGGGTGACCCTGTCAGTATTTAAAAAACTGATAGTGTAGCTTCCAGCATCACATCAACAAGAAAACCGCCAGTTTGACAAACTAACAGACAGTTGGTGAAGATCAAAGACCACAGCCTTCAGTATGGGTGGCACTTCATTGTAAAGAAAACATGGACCCCACAAATAACATCGTGATAAATGGAGATAAGATTGAAGTTGTCAAAGATTTCATTTTGCTTAGATTCACTATCAACACTCATGGAAGTAGACGGCAAAAAAATCAAACAACGTATTGTATTATGCCAGGGTTGAGGAAAGTTTGGCCCACAGGCTGTATAAAGTCAGTGAAATTATTTGGTCTGGCTACGCTAAGGCAACTGCAGTTTCAGCCATCACATTAGTGGTGAATTAATTAAATGTTTGACTAAATATAGCACACTAATTTTTAAGTAGATAATTCTGAATACCCTGCAAATAATGTTACAAATTTTGGCAGGAAAAAAGAATTTGCCCCTGCATTAGGCAAATCTGCTACTCAAATTCTCATTTTAAGGGACACTTCTGGCAAGATGGCAGACTAGGCAGACGAACTACAGGGATCCTCTACAACAAAGATACAAGAGACAAAATAAAACAGACACAGATGGAAATTCTGGCACCCTGAACTTCAGAAGAAAGGTTAGAGAGGTGGACAGAGTGCTTGCTGGGAGGAAAGACTGAGCAGGGATGGTGAGAGAGGGAGACTGACTGGTAAACGGCAGTCAGACGAGGCTCCACCGTATCGTGAGCACATGTAGCAGTGGAGTCAGGCCTGGCACAGATTAGCTCGGGATACGGAAAAGGTTCAATTTCTTGTTTCTCCCCATGCTCCTCTGGTGACCAGAGTGTGGCCAGATCCCACGCATGTCCACACCCAGTGCAGACCCTACTTCAGGAGTCCAGAGCCGTATGATGAGAGCCACACCAGTGTGAGGTGAGGGACGGTGCCTGGATTCAGGTACGCTCAGCTCCAAAACTACAAAACCTGCAGAGCCACCAGACGAGCGTTTAACCAGTCACTCTGCCCACAGCTTCCGTGTGGTCCTAATAGACACTAACACCAGCTCCATCGAGGGCCCCCCTGAACACAGATAATACTGACGCCAGTAGGAGCTCCATTGAGGGCCAGAAACTCTGCTGTCACATCCCTTCCACAACCACCTTGTGAGCTCCCTGAATTGCAGGAACCCCCAGAGATTTCACCCCTCCACATTCAGTAACTGCACTGTTTGTTTCCTTCAAATATGACAACCCCACAATTTCCTGGAAACAACAGACAATTTTACCTTACATGAAGAAACAAGAAAGAATGGTTCAAACAAATGTCCAAGATGCAGAGCTAGAAAATGAGTCTGAGAAAGAAAAAGTAATAGAACTAACTGAAGAAGAATTGAAAAGAATGATAATTAGGTACCTTCAAAGGACTGATAGAAAGATCAAGGAAAGCAAGGATAACACAATAAAAAATTTAGAAGAATCCAGGACAACACTACAAGAACAAATAGACAAAATAAATGCAAATTTTGAAACAACTCAAAACCTGCAATTAGAAATCCAGAAGATTAATATTAAGGTCTCAGAAATGTACAATACATTGAAAGGGCAAATGGGTTGATGGAAAGCAATGGAAGTAGGAATTATTGTTGTTGTTAGGTGCCATCGAGTTGGTACCAACTCATTACAGCAACCCTATGCACAACAGAACAAAACACTGCCCAATCCTGGGTCACCTCACAATCATTGTACACCTGAACCCACTGTTGCCACCACTGTGCCAATCTATCTTGTTAGGGGTCTTCCTCTTTTTCTCTGACCTTCCACTTTGCCTAACATGATATACTTCTTCAGGGATTTGTCCCTCTTTATGATATGTCCAAAGCACGAGACAGGAAGTTTGGCCATCCTGGCTTCCAAGGAACACTCTGGCTGTACTTCTTCCAACACAGATTTGTTTGTTCTTTTGGCAGTCCATGGAACTTATAATATTCTCCTCCAACACCATAATTGAAATGCATCAATTCTTCTACGGCCTTCCTTATTCACTATCCAACTTTCGCATGCGTATGAGGTTATTGAAAATACCATGGCTTCGGTCAGGTGCACCTTAGTCTTCAAACTGACATCTTTACTCTTCAACACTTTATAAAGGTCTTATGCAGCAGATTTGCCTAATGCAATATGTCATTTGATTACTTGACTGCTGCTTCCATGGTGCTGATGGGTGATCCAAGCAAAACGAAGTTTTTGACAACTTCAGTCTTTTCTCTATTGATAAGGATGTTGTTTACTGGTCCAGTGGTGAAGATCTTTGTTTTCTTTACATTGAGATGCAACTCATACCAAAGACTGTGGCCTTTGATCTTCATCAATAAGTATTTTAGGTCCTCTTCACTTTCAGCAAGCAAGGTTGTATCAACTGCATAGTGCAAGTTGTTACTGAGGCTTCCTCCAATCCTGATGCCACGTTTTTCTTCAAATAATCCAGCTTCTCAGATTATTTGTTCAGCAAATAGACTAAACAAATAAGGTGTAACAATACAACCCTGGTGCACACCTTTCCTATTTTAAACCATTCGGTGTTCCCTTGTTCTGTTTGCACAACTGTTTCTTGGTCTATGTACAGGTTACTCATGAGCATAATTAAGTGTTGTGAAATACTCATACCTTGCAATGTTGTCCATAGCTTGTCATGATCCATACAACTGAAAGCCTTTACATAGTTAATAAAGCACAGGTAAACATCTTTCTGGTATTCTCTGCTTTCAGCCAAGATCCATCTGACGTCAGCAATGATATCCCTCACTCCACGTCCTCTTCTGAATCCGGCTTGAACCTCTGGAAGTTCTCTGACAATGCAGGTTTGCAGCTGTTTTTGTATTACCTTTAGTAAAACTTTACTCACGTGGGATACTAATGATATTGTCTGATGATTTCTGCATTCCATTGGGTCACGTCTCTTTGGAATGGGCACAGATATGGACCTCTTCCGGTCAATTGGCCAGGGAGTTTTCTTCCAAATTTCTTGGCATATATGAGCTAGCGCCTCCAGTGCTACATCAGTTTGTTGAAAGATTTCCATTTGTATTCCATCAATTCCCAGTGCCCAGTTCTTTGCCAATGCCTTCAATGCACCTTGGGCTTCTTCCTTCAGGATAATTGGCTCTTGTTCATATGCTACTTCTTGAAATGGTTGAACATCAACCATTTCTTTTTGGTACAGTGACTCTGTATATTCCTTTCATCATCATCTTCTTTTTTTTTAAGTTTTTATTGGGAATTGAGTGATACTTTACATGGGAGAGCATCAGTTTCGCACTCATCATTTCATTGCAATGATTACTATCTCCTTTGTGCATCAACATTCAACAGTATTTGCTTCCATTTCCTCTGTTGTTTTGTTTTTGTTTTTTGGGGGGGATGTACACAAAAACACTCAGGAATATATAATCATTTAAGCAGCCAAAGGACACATTCTGTAAGCCTGCCTCCTGGTAGCCAACACTCAGTCTGTCTCTTTCCATGAGTCCAGAGTTCTCAGCTGCTTTATCTCCATGTCCTCATCTCTGCCTCTACCTCTGGTGTTGCTGCCTCTCTGGATAGGGTCCTGCATTCCACTTGTGCTCTTCTCCCTTGATGGTCCTAGGGTCCTCTGTTCCTGGACTATAACATTAACTATTTCCCCATTTTTGTTACAGAATTTCTACCTTTACAATTGTGACAGTCACAATTAGTCATGGTAACAATTATTCACTGTTGAATATTATCCCAATCTCTTTTCATCAGACCCATCTAGACAAGATGAAAAATATTCAGTGGGGACTCTACCTTGTTCCACACACTCTTAAACTAAACTTTCTCTTCAAACCTTGTAAGTCAGTCACTTCATGCCTTTATCGCTCCCTAATTTTAGGTTATCAATGTACAAGTAGCCTGTCCCTTTCAACCCTGTATACAGAGGGGATAGGACTGATACTTCATGTGATGACTCCTTAACTCTCAATTGGTATTTTGAGCCACTACATCCATAAGTATAGGTCAAGTTCATCAAATTGTAGCAATGTACACTTATTTCCTTTATTAAAAACTTAAAAAAAATCTTCCTCTAGTGGAGTTCTGGTCTTCAAGCCATTGAGGCTA